AACCACAGAGATAATCTGAGTGCAAAAAAAAAGTTAGGGACCAAAAGTGTAATTTTGACCAAACCACAGGGACGATTTCAATAATTTACTCTTTTTTCTTATATTATATTGAACTTTATAAAAGTTTTTATAAAAGTTTAATAAAACATATTTAGACCGTTTCATTTTCCATTCAAGAATTTAATAATCATTGAATTTCATATTCATTGAATGTCAATTTGTCATTCAAGGATGGATATGAGACCGAACCAGTGCCGACCCAGATTCTCGAATACTGAATTGTGTGGAAGGTCGATGCCGAACAAATAGACATGTCAATGGAGCGAGATTTTACCATGATTCGCTCCAAACCCTTAAGAATTTTACGGGTTTAGATTTTATTTTTCGATTCGTTTACTCGTTTACGACCCATACCATTTTACCCTTTTATTAAATGGGTTAGGTATGAATCATTACCGATTTGCTCCATTTATAACCCGCCCCACTTATATATATATATATATATATATATATATATATATATATATATATATTGTGTGCATGTATGATTGATTCTGAACCAATAATTTTTACTTATTTTAAAAAAATAATTAATGCATATTACATGTTGAAGATATATAATGGATATTAATTACATCTTCAACATTTAATATGCATTAATTACTTTCTTAAAATAACTAAAATGATTGATCCATAATCAATCATACATACATACAATAGATAGTGAAAACATTTGAACCTAACTCATATATATATATATATATATATATATATATATATATATATATATATATATATATATATATATATATATATAACACTAAAGTATGCAACTCTATGTCTAAGTAAAATGTAATTTTTATTTTGTTAGATAGTGAGTATTAAGTAATGTATATATTATTTAAGTAGGCATTTTATATATATATTTTTTATAAATATTAGTTTGTGGCACACATTAAAATTGTTAAACTGTAATATTGAAAAAACGTCGGATTAATGGGTTGGGTATTTGTTGATATATTCGATGGATACGAGTATGGATTTGATTATTCAAAATATGAGGGTTATTAGAGTCAGATGAGTCATGTTTTTAGAATTTTTAAAGGGTTTGCATCAAAGGTGATTCGCTCCAAACCCGCCTCATTGATAGGTCTACGAACAAGTCTTATATTAACATAAGCAGTACCGGTTTGGGTCGGAAAATAATTCCAATACTTTTGTTCACTCTAGATTCATTTCATTATAGTTAAGTTTAATGCTAATTAGACATTTCATCTTATTAAACTGTTCAATTAAACTACATGGTGTGAATACTCTTAATGGTAAACATATAAATTTGAAAAAGAAAAATTGAAAAAAATTGCTACGTTTTTAATCCGAAATAAAGTTTGGTATATTTGTTGATATGATAAAAGTATTTTCACATGTTATGCTCTCGAGTGCAAAGTCTTTACAAGTAGAATTCAAAACATAACTTTGCAAAGCTTGTTGTATCAGTACTTTTTTGTTCAAAAAGATTTTTAAAACTTGAATTCATCGTCAAATTATTTGTGGGACAACTATCTAACAAATTTAAACTTAAAATCATAGATATAAAGCTTAATCTTATAAATATGTATTTATCATTCAAGTGTGAATAATTGTAGTTTATATACAAACGGAACTAGACAAAGTACAGTCAAAGACAAATCATCTTCTAAAGAAAACATTACTAAAAAGACATTCTCTTCATATATAGAATCTTAAAAGATCATATATTACGTCGATATTCGTTTTAAAAAACATTAAAAAAACACACTAATTATCTTCCTCGATATGTCACAAAATCCTACGATCTGAATGCTAATTAAAATAACATTCACCCAACAACACCACTAATTATAATATTAAAAAAAAAACAAGTTTCAAATTCCACCAAAGCAGTCATTTTTAGCTCCAATTCACACCCAAAAGTTCGAACCGATCGTACACTAAACCAATGGGTTAGTCGTTGATGTTCCATAGCCATTGACTAAGCCACCCCATGATGACCCAAGACCCGTTAAGTACCCACCGCTACCGGAACTTGCAGCGCCGCCATGGTGATCGGAAGAACAATTTTGATCTTGCCATTCTAAAGCCAAAAGCTTCGGCTTTACATCAAGTGAACTGATCGTATCATCATGCACATCGTTCCCTTCGTGATTGTATGCGATTAACCCTCTTTCCATAAACGGGTTATTAATCGAATCGAGTGTCATCCCTCCGAAGGGTGAACAAAGATTACCGCCATGATAATTCTGAGCTAAAATATTTGCACCACCCATCTCCGCCGCGTAACCACCGGTACCCATTATCCCGAGAAACTGACTCCCACCGCCTCCACCACTGTTCTCCATGAAATCGATAGCCCTGGTAGCACTATTGTTCAGATTCTCAAACATAAAACTAGGAATATTACTTGAATTCCCGATTCCAAACAAGTTAGACGCAGAAAACTGCATGGACGATTCCGGGTACGAGAGTTGAAGATCAGTCGAGTTCATAATCAAGTGGTGGTTAGGGTTAATCAAATGTGGGTTTTGTTGATGGTTCTGGTGGTGGATGTTAATGCTGTTATCGTTGCTGTGGTTGTTAGGGGTCGCGGATGTAGATTTCTTGGAACTAGAAGAGACTTTCTTGTTTTTCCGGCAACCGCCGCCAACAGGAATGTTACGGAGGGTGCCACCTTTGGTCCAGTATCGGCGGCAGGTTTTGCAGAAGTATCGTGGCTGGGTGAGTGAGTAGTTGTTGTAGTAGCAGAACTTGGTGTGGGTGGAGTCGCAGCGTGGACATTTGAGAGCTTGGTCTTGTTGTGGCCGGAGCCTTCTCTCCATTAATGGCCGCGAGCATGCAAGCATGGGATCAGTAATTCCTGAAGGAGATGATGAATCCATTCCTATTTCCTCCTGAATTGTACCCTGGATATATTAATTATAAAAAAAACCATCAGAATCTGTGTCGGGAATTGTACTTTCAGAACATTCAATTCCAATGTACGTACACCAAAACAAGACATTCTTTATCTTTTGTTACCCTTAAAGAACAACTTATCGTTTTTATAAAAATTCCAAAACAATATTGCAATGATTATGAAACCCTAAATGCAAACCTTAACTAATCATTTTTTTAACTAGAAAATGATGGGTTATTTATAACCAAAATCCAAGAGTGACCGACTTTCCTAACAAGTGATTTCTTTGTTTTCCATTTCAAAGGGTTCGAGACAATTATTTGTAATGGATAGATGTATTTAGCACCATTAAAACGATAAACCAGTTGCAGTTTTTTATTTACTAGAAATGTAGTCTTTCTTTTGCAAATGTACTTATGATTCACTTGCGTATTTTGTAAGTAAGAACTGTAAATGCAAGTAGATGTTGACTCGTGTTACTAAATGCTGGTTTTGAATTTTTGTTTCTTAAATAAATTTTGTTCTCACCCCAACAATTACAATCAATTTCCAAATGTAGGAGTCTAAAATCATAATATGTAGCAAGAAGTCTTACCTGAAACCAGTCAGACGAGTCCATGCAGACTTGAAGCGACGTTAAACCCATTTGATCCGAAGTGGAATCGTTCTAAAAAACAGAAGTGAAAATCTCACACACACAGTTAGTGTGTGAGAGTGGGTATTTTAGAGAGAGGAAAGAGAGTAAATGTGAAGTATGCAATGGTACTTTGGGGTTGAAGGCGATGTGAATAAGAAGGAAGAAAAAGTTACGAGTGGTGGGATAGCCTGCATCTGTCATCGGTGACACATTCCCAATGTGGACCCTGCATTATGTCCCTACACGATTAACGATCAGGATCTTGTGGATGCTTTTTGTGGATTTGATGAGAACCGTTGGATGAAGTGGGACATCTGAGTGATTGTGACAGTGTGATGTTTGAGTTCCTCGATTAAGGCCAAAACCGAAAGATCATGCTGTGTTGGGACCCACGAGGTCGCTTGTTACAAGCAAGGCATAAATTCTTTTTGGTGACGTGTCAGACTAGATTGTGCCCACGTGGAAATTGTGTTTGTGAAGTTTTCGTAGGGTGGCTAACTATGTGATTTGCCAAAGTAGCAGCTTCTATCCTCTCGAAATTTACAAAATTTCCTTTTTTTTTTTTTTTTTTTTTTTTTTTTTTTTTTTTTTCAGATCGGATTACAATTTTTTATCAAATTTGGATAATCTCATGTAGTACTAAGAAGAGGCATGTCTTCCGTTTGAAGCCTGGTTCGAACCAATTTACGTTTGGAACCAAAATCGACATCTACCTAAAGCTAGAACCGAGTACCGACTTGTTATATGTAATTCGATTCTTACCATAAAACCTGAATTTTAATGATACAAGCCTTAAAGTGGTTTGTATAATTACGAAAGCATAAAAGAAACAACAAAAATATGTTTAATCGTAAACCAAGTGCTTTCTAATAGAAATTTGTAAAAAAGTCCATGAACCTTGGCTTTAATTTATCAACCTAAAAGTCACCACTGTCATATATATATATATATATATATATATATATATATATATATATATATATATATATATATATATATATTCAAATAAGAACACCTAAAAGGTTGAGAACGCGAGAACATATCTGGACCATTTAAATACTTAAATCTAAGGTCATTATTGAAAGGGGGATTTATGAAAAATTCTTAAACTATTGGCATTAAAATATAACTTTTAAATGGTTAGAAGGATATAACAGGAATTTCAACTTTACCTGTATCCTATAATTTATCAACCACTCACATATTTCCTTTAATTTTCTCGTGTATATATTTCCACCTCTCTCTTTTTAGGGTTTCATAAAACTTAGGCCATCATCGATCTGGGCATCACCTACAACCCACCACGAAGATATGTTCCCCATCTTCATCTTACACCGCAACCATTATCGTCGCACACAGCTCCAATCAAGAGTGACGGCCGAAGATGACTGTAACAATTGGCAATGGCGAAGATGACTGTGAAAATTGGAGATGGTGAAGCAACGACGTTTGAGGCATATTGCGGTGGTACTCGAGTGGCCCAACGAGCAGACCACAACCAGCAAACCACTGTGCTGGTGTTCGTGTCATTCTACAGGTTTGCTACCATTGATTCGTAGGTTGATTCTTTCTCACCTGAAGTCGGGTAGATTTAGTGGATGGGAAGGGACGCATTGTTCACAGGTATGCTCTTTGAAATTTTATTATCCAAATACAAATATCTTAACACATGGCTACCCAAATTTGATATTTAATCGAAAATCATGGATCGCTCTTAACAATTGTACATTTTTGTTTAGATATTGGCAATGGTCTTTAATTTGTTGAATGAATGGGAACCAATGGGGCCAAGAGGGTCTGTTCTTGAAGAAAGGATGAACTGTGCACATAAGGTGCTCGATAAAATGTCTGTGAGAGCATTTTCGACTGGAATGATGGAAGGGGTCTCGATGGGGCAATTGCTTCGATCGGTAATGATTATCTTCACTTTTATTTTTATTTTGACTATAAATCAATGAAGTTTAATCAACTACATTTCTTTACTTGTATTTCTTTCTATTCATACATGAATCTAGCTTTGGAATTAAGTTTTATGAACCACAAGATCTTATCGTGAAAACGTCTACTCAAAACCACAAGGTTTCTGCTATTTTGGTGTTTGGAGACTCCACTTCTGATCCTGGAAACAACAACTACATTCTGACCCATTTCAGGGGCAATTTCCCAGCTTATGGGAGAGATTTTGCAAACCAAAAAGCGACAACGAGGTGTACCAATGGAAAGAAACACAATCCTAATTTTCGAATTTTTTGGTAATAAGTTCTTGAAAGGGGTGCATGAATGGTTGTATTTATTTATGAATAGCACGTGTATTCATTTATGAATAACATTGTAGTTATGTGTGAATAGTTGTATTCATTTATTAATAGCACGTGTATTCATTTATGATAGAATGTGTATTAATTTATAAATAACAGTGTATTCATTTGTGAATTGTAATGTATTAATGTGTGAATGATTGTATTTATTTATGAATATTAGTGTATTCATGTGAATGAGTGTATTTATTTATGATTAGAGGTATTCATTTTCTGAAAAATGATAATTTTTACACTTTTTTTTTTATTTTCAATTTATGAAAAATACATTGAATTATTTGTAATTTGATATGTTTTCATTTATGATTGGAAGTGTATTGATTTGCGATTGGATTTCTATTAATTTTTTTTTTGAAAAACAAAAACGTGAAATAGTAGAAAATAATATTTTTTAACATTTGCTTTTCAGATTTAAAATAAAAGGAAATATTAATTTTTTTTAGGTGATTTTTTTGAAACGGTCATAAATAAATTTTGGGAAAAATCATTAAAAAAAAATATTTATATATATTTTATTAACTAAAAGGAAATATTAATTTTGTTAGGTAATTAAAATCATTATCCCTAGATTTTAGGAAATCAATAATTAATATTTATATAAAGTTACTAATATACCCTTATAAAATGAGTGGTCCAGAACTGTTCTCGCGTTCTCAACCTTTTAGCTGTTCTCGTTTTATCCTCTCCATATATATATATATATATATATATATATATATATATATATATATATATATATATATATATATATATATATATATATATATATATATATATATATATATATAAGATGAATTGAAAACGTATAGTTTTACCAGAACCCGAAAACTAAAAGTGGAACGTTATATTAAAATTAATTCATTAAGGCGTGATCATTATATTAAAAGTGTAGATTTTATATATATATATATATATATATATATATATATATATATATATATATATATATATATATATATATATATATATATATATATATATATATATATATATAAGATGAGTTGAAAACGTATAGTTTTACCAGAACCCGAAAACTAAAAGTGGAACGTTATATTAAAATTAATTCATTAAGGCGTGATCATTATATTAAAAGTGTAGATTTTTTAATTTAGTATAGCAAACATGAACTTTTGAAAAAAAATTGAAATTTATTTTAAAAAAAACTACAATTTTTTAAAGGCATTTAAAATATGAAATATTAAAAAAAAAAAAAATACTATAACTGTTTAACAAAAAATCAAAATTTTAGGTACATATATGCATATTTTTACAAATGCATATATATATATATATATATATATATATATATATATATATATATATATATATATATAATATTTGTAAGTAAATATAAGAAAACTCATTTAATATACTAATCTATAAACACAACAGAATAATTAGTTTATTCGATACAAAATAAAAAATAAAAAAACAAAAAAATGCTACAAAATTTCAAAGTGTTTTCATATATTCATGTTAATATTTTCATATTTTCTTCAATTATCATTTTTCACATCTTCAATATTCACCACTATTTCTTCCAAATATACAAGAAAATTAAAAAGAAAAATTGATTGATGTAAAAACACTCACAAAAATAAATATATGATTTACATGTGATTAACATATAAATCACATGTGATTCACATATGAATCACATTTACATATGACATCATATGTGAATTACATTTGATTTTCATCTGAATCAAAGGTAATTCAGATGTGAATCAGACATGTGAATCAAATGTGGTTTACATGTGAATCAAATATGATTATTATGTGATTAATATATGAAATGAATTATATATAATTCACATACTAATCATATTCGATTCACATGTAAATTACATGTGATTTAGACGTGAATCACATGTGATTAAAATATTAATCATATTTGATTTTCATATGAATCACATGTGATTTACATATAAATCATATGCGATTTACACGTGAATCACATGTGATTTACATGTGAATCATGTTTGAGTCACATATAAATCATATTTGATCATATGTGATTACAAGCATACTTATGTGACTGCCTCTATGGTTGACAAGTTAATTGGTTTTTCTCTTAAAACTAATTCACACGAGCCAAAAAGTATGGAAGTGTAACTACAAAATAAAATAAAAATGATCTCACATACCTCATTATGCTACAAAATGTGGAGTATAAATGACTAGAAGTATAACTTGTAACGTCCCGTTCTTGGTACGCATCTAATTTATTTAAGTATGTATTTTTGTTAGAGCTAGTCAACGAGTTGGTAGCCCTAACTCATCGAGTAGATGCCAGTTTGGACGCGAGCTTTAAGTGGTCTACTCGACGAGTCAAAATCCTTGACTCGACGAGTAGGTCCGTTAGGAGGAAACCCTAATATTTAGGGTTTGTGTAAGTCCTTAATTTGCCTGAGTATTAATCAGATCTGTTTGATGGTGCAGACTCCCAATCAAACGGATGATGTTAGATCAAATAGAAGAGAAGGAGAAAAATAATAATATGAATCTCAATGTATTGATTAATAGAATGACGCTCCTTTACATGAGATTCACACACACACACACACACACTTAAGCTCCCATCTCTCTAATTACTCTCTTCTCACGTTCATCAATCTCTACTCCTTACCCCTAACACCTATATATATATATATATATATATATATATATATATATATATATATATATATATATATACACACACACACACTAGGGAATATGGGCTAACTGAACATGGGCCGTAAATGAGTTTATGACCGTAAACCTGTTTACGGCCGTAAACACCCACCTGATCGTAAACTCATAAAATATTACAGAAAAATACATTTTCCTAGAAAAGTAAAGTATAAACCATATTTTTGACCAAACAATCTCCCCCTTGGGTTATAGCTTTCTTTTCTTAATTGACCCAACAAGCTCCCCCTAAAAAGTAGCTGGCTCTTCTTGCCAATCTTCAATAGGAGCTCGGCTTCAGCTTTAACCTTTGATTTCTTCACAGCATTAGGATGAACATAGGAATCTTCCATAAATCACTTCATCTTAAGCCCTTGAGCTTTTCTTCAGAATTTGACATTGAACACACATTGGGTGAGGAGGCTTGATGTATTGATTCTTGAAAGATAGCGCTTTCAGCTTGAGAATCTTTAGAGAAAACATCAGAGAGAACAAATCTTCTGAATCACTTTAGCAGGTTTAAGATAACAGTAGACTGATTGAGAAGGCTTCAATGCAATCCGTCACATAATCTTCAATTTCAGCTTCACCTTGCTTCTGGGGTTGAAGGATTGAATGTCAAAAGAATAATCTTTATTTCTTGCTCCTTCGAATGTGAGTTCTTCGATAATCACGGATGAAGCCTTGGCTCAGAAATATTCAATACAGTCTCCAAGAGTCTCATCTACACCTGAATTCACTTTTCAAGACAAAACTAAACTAAAAGAAAACTTAGCACGCTAATTAAAACAGAAACAAAAATATTTTTGGATTTTTGATTTATTTGAACAAGAAATAAAATAGAAATAAAAATATTTTTGGATTTTTGATTTTTGATTTTTTTAAAATCCTCCCCCTAAATTTGTGCATAGAGGAAAATTATGAACAAATTTAACCAAAAGAAAAATATTTGGGATCAAAGTTGTTAGACAACCTTAGTCTACTTGTCGGTACCCTTATTTTCATGTCTTCGTCTGATCGATCGCTAGTATTGTGATCCACTTAAGCATGAAACATTTGTGACAAAATTTGGACAATTTACCAATGACATGACATTTTTAGCCCTTATTCTTAAATAAATTTCCTTGTGACCATTTAACTGACTACAACCAGGGATACTGTTGTCCACCTAAATTGAGCAATGAGATATACAGACAACCTGTATGTGTTCAATTTTAATTGACTAGAATGTGTTTCCCGCTTCCTGACATGCGCCAGCCATCAAGGAATTCCAAAATACTCCTTACACCGGGTGAGCAGACAATTATTAAGAGAGAAGATAGATCTAGAATACATATGCTGTACATCCAGGTCGGATATCTTCGAATCACGCAAAGGATGAAACATATGACTAACTGAAGTTTTAGAGGGATTGAGAAGAGAATGTTGCATATACTGTGTACCAGGTCGGATTATGAGTCGTGCAGAGGAGACCATATGTGGCTAACAGATAGAAAGAATTGCATAGAGAGAAGATGCAGAGCGATAGAATTGCATATGTTACAGTCCAGGTCAGATCTCTCGATCACACAATGGAGGCAACATATGACTAACAGATAGAAAGCAAGAAAATAACCTTCTACAGACCTAGTTCATCGGAATTCCCCAGTCACCCCATCAAAACCTAATTCCCCATTCACCTTATCAAAATTGGAATTAAGGACAGAATCCGCACATCAAGGAAAAGTTAACCCCCACAGTTCTAGATACGGGTTCTTTTAATGTGACCGGTAGATTCTCATGTATATCTCCCTGCTCAATCTATCCGAGCGTCGTAATGTCAGGCTAAAAGGATCTAACTAGATTAATGTTTGTCTAGTCCTTGAATTCCTTAAGTTCAACTTTCCCTAGTCAAGTCCATTTAAAATCTTCCGTGCCTACTAGCGCATTGAGCATAGAGCGTAGACAATTCAATTTTGGTACGTTAAACAGATTTAGATTCCCCGTTATCACTTGATAATATCATTTCCCGATAAAAAGTACTAACAAAAAACTATTAAGAAAATGAAAATTTGTCTTTGAAACGAATCATAGTAAGATAAACTCAGGAGTATAGAGAAGAAAATGCAAACCATAATTCACCGATTGAATTTGCATCCAGATGGTTTGAGAACAACACGCATAATCTCATAACAGATCCGAAAATTCTTTACGTCATTAAGAACTAACCCCATGTGATCCCTTCCTTTCCTCCCTTCTTTCGTTTCCCGCAAAGGACACATACTC